GGTATCTAGTTTTTCTGTTCTCATTAATTGCTGTTGGAGTGCTGGTTTAGGAGCATGTACAGAACTGGCTTAGCTTTCTCTTTTTTCTGTGCTGTGTTTAGGTGAGACTTGATTTGTTTACTTGCTGTTTGCCATGTGCTACTTCAGCTCTGCCAGCCACGTTTTAGGCAATGCAGAATTGTTATTGCTTCATCTCTCCAGGATGCACCACCACAGGTTGTGTAGAGGACGTGCAGGAGGCACCTCCTACCTCTGCCAGGACAGTCTCTCATTTAAAAAGCCTCCCTGTAAGATTTTGGACTGTTCAATGCTCACTAGCCATGAGCATTTTCCTTCTGCAGGGTTTTGCCTTGCCTCAGCCTCTGTGGTCTCTGAAAAGCCAGGTTTATTTTGTGTGTGTGAGTTATCAGTAGGTAGGAAGCAGTGCAATGCAGGCAGCTGCTGGTGGCCTGCTGCCTTACCATTCCTTGTGGAATTGTTCCACAAAATCAGGTACCACAGAGCACTGGGGTAACTTGGCCAGGCTGCACCACACCTGTGAGGAGCCTGCCCTGGGAATCCTGCCCTGTGTTTGTGTGAGAGCCATCTCAAAGCTCTGAGCCAGCGCTGACATTTGAAACTGTTCCTGCAGCACTTCCCCACAGGGAAGAGCTCCTCATCTCCAGCTCTGGGCACTCCAGGTGCTTGCAAGGTCCCAGCCCCCACCAGCATCATTCCAGAAACTGCTGGGGGCACATTTCCTGCAAAGCCCTGCTCTCTCTCAAAATGCTTCCAGCACAAGTGCTGCTTCCAGCTGATTTCTCTTGCCCAAGGAGCTGGGCTGGGCTCACCCTCTGGCTGAGAGCTGGCAGTGATGCATGCATGCAGAGAAGGATGCAGGAGCTGCAATCCCCACACAGCAGGAGGAGGAACACCTGTGGTGTGTCCAGCTGTGGTGTTATGGTGTCACTGAAGCCATTTATCTGATCATTGATGGGACCTTTTGCTCTCCATTGTGGTGTCATGGTTCCCCTTCTTCACAACTTTTAAAACCACAACTTTTCAAACCACTTTTTCCAGAATTTTTCGTCTTGGTTTCTTCATTTTGAATGTATCCTCTGTGGCCTCTGGGGATTTTTCTTGGGCACAGATTTGAGGCCATGGGAATGGGATGACAGAATGTGCCCTGGAAGGAGGAGGAACATGGTGAGGAGTGTGCCAGCCTCAGTGTCCTGGTGGGGCAGCACAACAGGGACAGAAGTGTCTGTCCCTTGCTGAATAAATCACCCTTTTCTTCCTCCGGCAGAAAAATACTCAGCAGCAACAAAACTTTGATTAAGTTCTGTGGAGAAAATCCAGAAAAAACTGAGAACTGAAATATCAGGTCCAGCCTACTTTGACAGCTCCCTTCCAACTGCTTTTGGAAATATTTGCTGTCTTACTGCTCACGTCTGGAGTGAAAATTAGAGCACTTTGTGGGCCCAAACATCTGCTCAGTGAGAGCCCATTAAAAGCCTGGCCACTGTAACTAGCTATTGCTCTATCATTTTTATCAATAGCAAATGTAAACTCTCATAGGAAAATGTGGGTTTTTTCCAGTTAATATCTACCATCATGAAGCTGATTTTGCTAAGCAGCTTTGGCACTAAGAACCAGCAACAGCTAATAAATTCAATGTTAGGCTTATGAGGTTCTGACAGATTGCTGGCAGCTGCCTTAAATGCAGGAAAAAGCTCTCCTAGTGTGGGTTGGAAATGCTTATTTATACCATACTGTGGGTCTGTTTGCCCCAAATTTTGCTGCCTCCTTTTAGTAGATGTCAATGGTGAGATATATGACAAGGGTACAATAACTGATCAGAGATGCATTTTCCAGCTACACTGGAGATCAGCACCAATGCATAAAGATAGGAAGCTCAGCCATAAAGTATTAGATTTTTACTGTAAGAATTTTCATTTATGAATGCAAGGTTTGTGGTGAGGATGTGACTAGACCTCATCATGGATGGTTTTATTTACTGTGAGTTTTTATGGTAGTTCTTTTTCTATATCAGAGGGTTTTAAATAATCTGTAGGAGTTTAACACCACCTTGCTGTTAATTTGTGGTGGACTGAAGCAAAGATGGGTTGTGCAACTACACTGAGAGTGTTCTTAGCACGTCTTAAAAGTTGTGTCTTAAAAGTGAAAGATGATGTGCTCAGAAAAAGACATGGGCTTCAGGAGCCTCTGTTTAGCTTAGAAGTTGGTCAAACAGGGATCCTCTTTGGGCCAGGGATAACCAACTAAAAGGAAAACTTTGGGAAACCTGAGTGCTCAGCTGCAGAAATGGAGAGACATTGCAGAGACATTTCAGATAAAAAAAAATTGCAGAGACATTTCAGATAAACAACCACTTTTTGGTGGTAAGTGATGCTAAGAATATGTACAGAAAGTGAATAAGTTGCAGTCTCTTTGTGAAGCTAAGTTTAGTCTCAAATTTCCCAGTTACATGATTGCTTGTGATAACCACAATGTTTGAACTGAACTCAAATTTGCTATTCACTGTATTTCATCCTTTCTCATTGACTTGGACTGGCTGGAACTTAGTAGTTGATAAGCCTCTGCCCATTAAAGTCAATGCTGAGTGAGGGGATGAAGAAATTAAAGGAATGGGAAATTCCTTCTAACTGGAAAAGAGCAGATGAAATCAAGACATTAAAGAATTGTTCCGTGAAAGTAAATCAGGCATCAATTTTCTCTTCACATGTGGTGAAAGTAGCTCTGGAGAGTACAAGACTGATGGTGAAAATTCCAAATTAACCATGTTGCAGTGTCCAACTTGATGTACAGTTGTGGAATTTATCCTGGTTTTGTTTATGATTCTGATGGTCAGCACTTTCCATCTCTGACAAAGCATTCCCCTCTCTTTCTGTCAATATGCCTTACAACTCCATGGAAAGTATTCTGAAATAGATAGAATTTTCTTTATAACGCTACACAGAAAGAGCCTTCCTTCCTCAAAAAAGAAAAATAGAATTTTCTAGAAATATGCACTGACATCATGCAGCAACTCTAAAATTCTCCTGGAAAAAAAAATGCTGACAGCATTTCACACAACCAAAAGAAATCCTGAAAGTAAAGCACTAAATGCTGTTTTGGAAAGTGTGTGGGTGATGCCACCAAGCATTCTGCACCATAATGAAGTTCCAGAGAAAGGGGATAAAGCAGAAAAGCACCCCAGTGCCTTTAGAGCAGGCACCTTGTGCCAGCCCTGGTCTGTCTGCTGGAGGGGCTCGCTGTGCCCACAGCCCTGGGGAGGGAAGGCAGGGAGATTCCCTTCCCCAGCTGCCTTCCAGCTCCTTTCACACCCCTGTCCCTGTCCATTCTCTCTCCTCTCCTGTGTCTCTCCTTCAGGACCAGTCCTATTCCCATCCTAGGACGGAACTTTCTGGAACTTTGAGATCCTCGCTGCTGTTTTGGCAGCTGCACTAAAAAGCACAAAGTACCCCAGTGTATTACAGGAAAGTGCAGCTTTCAGCTCTGTGGCTCTGTGCCCTGCTCCTGATGATGCCTTAGGATTTTAGCTTTTATATCTTTCATGTATTTGTAACCCTACAGTTTTTAGTGTATAACTCCAAACTCCACACACAGTGTGAGCTGCTGCTTTCCCATTTTGGGCAGACACAATTCCTCTCCAGGCCTGGCAATCAAGGACACCTCACTGCCTCAGGCCCTGAGAGATGGAAACAAAAGTGAGTTGGGGGAGCAAATTTGGAGTAAGTTACTTTACAGCTGAAGCTGTAATTGGAAGATTAACCCCCAATATGCAAATGGCCCAAATTTATAAAAGTGTGAAAATCCATGACCCTTCATCCATTTTGGGTATAACACCTGGGGAGCTTTATCTGCCCTAAATGTACCTGAAGGCCCTTCAATAAATAGAACTGCTTTTTATTGCTTTAATTTTGTCTGGCCACTGTTTTTAGATAGCCCAAAAAGGCATCACTGAGTCCTTTTGTCATGTTTTCTAGCACAGAGTTTGTTTTCTGGTGGCTGCTGAGTGTTGAGCTGGTTTCATAAGAGCCTTTGTGCCCCAAGGTCCCATTTGTGTGTGTGAGATTTAACTGGGAGCCCATTAGCGACACTAAACCCAGGCTTGTTCTTCCCTTATGTGCATAATTTATTTGGGTTTGCTTACAATGAATTTCACAGAGGCTCTGTGGCTGTTTCTCTCCCTGCAATATCCCCCTGCTTTATTAGCAGTAATTGCCTTTCTTCCCGTTTTCCAGTGGATCAGCAATTCAGGCAAATTAAGGAAAATTGTTCCTTACACCACTTACTGCTGCTCCACCAAACGCGAGGAAGGCACCCTGTGCCCAAAAGGTTTTGGGAGTGTCTCAAGTGATCTGACAAAATATATGGGGCACGTTGTCAGCTGGGACCAGGATGGGCTCAGTTCACTTTAATTGAGCTCTACTGAGCATTTTTTTCCCCTTACAGATTTTCAAAAGTGAGGTAAATTGCTTCTGAAAATGAAAGAAATCTCAATAATCAATTAAACTTCAATACCAGGGTGAGGAAAATGGTTGCAACCTGCTTCCGTGCACTTGAATATATAACTTTTCACAAGGGTAAACCAACCAAAGAAGCATCTGGATGATTCCTTCTCACAAAGAGATATTTTGCTACTGTGACTGTATTTTTCTGACCATAAATGTCTTCATGAACTGAGGACACCATGCAGCATTTCCTTCCTCACTAGAGGAAGAAGGGAAATGTCTGTCTTACAATACAAATAAATATTTTTCTTGAAAAAAGCCATCTGAGTTAAGATCAAATAAATGACAGACCTGCACAAAGTGAGCAAGCAAGCCTTGGTGCTTGTTCCAGCTGGCTGTGTGTAACGTGGATGTGGGTTATTAACATGTGGGTCCCTGTGTGCTGGGGGATTCTGCTTCCCCTGGCACTCAGGTCCCAACAAGACACAACACTGATGCAATCTGTAAGATGGGAGGGAAGAAGCCTTGAATGTGTCCTCTTACCTTTTTCAGAAGCCGGGGCAAGGTCAATAAAACTTCGACATTTTTCACCTTTAAAAGAAAAGGATTATTTTAGGAGACAGAAGTGGGTTGGTGTCGCTCTGCCTCCTGTCTGAGCCTGGGGTTCCTGCCCTCACTCCCACCCCAGTCTCTCCCAGACCTGGGGCTACACTGCGGCACAAACCCCTGTGCCTCCCCCCTGCCCAAACCCCCTGTGCCCAAGGGCTGGAGCTCAGTGGTTCCTGCCCTCACTCCCACCCCAGTCTGTCCAGGATCTCGGGGCCATCTCACACTGGGGACAGACGTTCCCCTGTGCCTCCAGCCCCTGTGCCCAAGGGCTGGAGTTCCCTCGGGATCGCAGCCCTGGCTCAGGAGTGTGGGTTACAGGCACTGCAGGAAATCCTTCCTTGCTGCCCGAGCCCCTGCTGGGCCAGTGATGCTGTCCCCAAGGGCAGGAGCAGTGCTGGGCTCTGGCTAGGGTGACACAGGGACAAACACCTCAGCAGGTGGCACTGGCAGGGCATGGGCCTCTCTCACCCACCCCTTTGCCATCCTTCTTCTCATCACCAGACAATGCCTGTGCCCCACCCAGGGTGACCAGACCTCCCAGTGCTGGGGCACTGCCACAGGCACAGAGCTCTCCATACACAGATGTGACACACATGACTGAGACAAAACCTGAAGTACAAAGAAGCTAAGGAAATGTATAAATGTTTTTAAAAAATGTTTTAAAAGCACCCAAATGCCTTGCTGTGAGCATCACACCCTCTGCCCCTCCCTGTTCCCCACTGTAAATTAAATTCTCTCTGTTTAGGACACCACCTTGCCCTTGCAGGAATTCTTGAGGAGTTTCTGAACAGGAAATGTATCTTAGGGTGGATGCTTTGACCTTTCTTTTTACTTCTTCAGGTAACCAAAGATGATCAAATAACTCCTGTGCCCTGGGTGCATCCCTCCACCAAGTGTATGTGTTCCTTTTGACATGACGTCTCCAAGGTGTGCTGGCACATCTGCCAGAGGTCATGGAATAAAGTCCATTTTGCCCTTTAAGACTTTAATTAATGCAAAGGCAGCTATAGGACTAGGCTGTTTCTTTAAAATGAGCTTTGCTCATTTTTAATTACAAAGTTCAAAACACTAATTTAGGAAAGGTGAGCCATTAAAAAAGAATAAACAGTGAAATGCCACAGTGATGGTAAAGTCAGTGTATTTTTTTCTTATTTGTAATTCAGTATACATAAAAAGCAATATAAAGTGTCCACCTTTCTGGTGTCTTTGCTGGCAAGATTGAGATAAATGCAATCATTCAAATGATAGCTGTGCTGACAAAAGAACCTATTGCTATAATGCTATTATTACTACTTTTTATTTACTTTTTGCAGTTATAAATCCATGCTAAATACACTGAGAGGTGATGTGTACATAGTCCATTGTATAAGTAGCTATAAAAGAAAAGGTTCACTTGACACTGACATGCACATTTTGATATGTCCAGGGCAAGGATTTCTACTCTGTGAGTCCAGAGGACAGTCAAGAAAAGGAAGTGACACTTAGTTTGCCAAAGCACCATTTCTGTTTCCAAAGGGGTGGGCAGGGCAGGCTGTATCTGGCCAGTAGTGTAAGTTTTGGGGGAAACAGATGGAAAGGTAACTGCTGGATCACAGAAATTACCAGCCCTGCACATTTTCTGTTTGGAGCAGGACCTTGACTTTCCCCACCCAAATTCTGAAATGCTCCAAGGATGGTAATACTCATCCCTTACTGACACACAGATGTCACTAAGAGATGTTTTTCCTACTCTGGTACACTTCTGGAGAAGTGTTTCCTTATACCAAATCCAAACTTCTGTATCTGCTCTGACATCAGTGCAGTCATCCTTTGTCTGTTTGTAGGGACATGAACAAGGCCAGCTCCCCCAGATTCTTTACTTTAGGTTCCTGACCAAGAAATCCAGATAAGTAAGTGGACTATGAAAGATACTAAGGTGCAAGTAGAAAACATTCTCATTCAGAGCCTCTGAGTTTTAGGGTATGAGGTTTTCCAGGAATTTTATTGACATAAAATCAAGGGAATATAGGGAGAGTAACCTCTAGATTTGGACTTGATATAAGCAGATTAAGCAGGATTTTTCATTCTAGCCATATGGATCTGTGGTTTGGGTCTGGTTTTTGTGGGTTTTTTGTCAGATGTAAGTTATTACTTTTATCACAGTTTTATTTGAACATGACTTCAAGCTGTCTCTCACTGATCATCGCTCACTTGTGTTACAGTGAATTCAAAGCTATATTACTGGAAACCTTTAACAAATACCTGGTTCTCCAGAATGTTATCCCAAGAAAGGCAAAGCGGAATGGCCTTTGCTAATGGAAAAACGGCACAGGCTGCTCTGAGAGCTGGTGGTACCTTTCAGCCACCTGGCAGGGGACAGTCTCTGACTTACCAGTGTTTGGCTGCGGGACAGAGGAGAGGGTGGTCACAGGCTGCTGGGAGGAATGAGCATCCTCTTCCTCCCTCAAACTCAGCTTGCCCAAAACACCATCTCTCCCCGTGGTGAAGTCTCCAGTTTAATTAACATGGACACAAAGTGCTGGAGTGTCCAGAAAAAGTCCTTTAGGAGTCATAGCAAAAAAAATGGCTGGAGACAGAGAAGAGCCTGATGTCACCTCACTTTCAATGGCTGATTGTGCCTGGCTTGCTGCTGAAGGTCATAGTAGGAGCTGCACAAGCAGTTCCTGACTCTTCCTTTGATGTTCCTGCTGCTGGAGCACTGGAAAACCCTCTTCCATTTTCAATGGCAGCCACTGGTGGTATTTATAAAGCACAGTCACACTTGCACATGCAGACATGCATCTCGCTGAGAACTGAAGATGTCAGCAGTGCTTTCACTGTTCCTCTTAGGATTTATTCTAAGTTATTTTTGGGTATCTTGTATAACTGATCTCTTAAGCCCTCTTAAGTTTAATTTTAGACTTGGCAGAGTTTATCCTGCTGTGCTGTCCTTTTCCAGATGCATCTTCTCCCTCTAACCAGGCTCCTGGAGAGTCTTTAGAGAATATACAAAAGACTGTTCAGAGAAGCAACAAGAAGAGTCTTGGGGATTCATCCCCTGAGAGCCCTGCCTTCCCCTGTTTGTGGCTGTGATCCTGACAGAGAAGAAAGCCAAGGAGTGACCTCTCCTGCTCTTCACTGAAGCAGAAAGAAGAGGTGGGAGCTGGCTGGAATTCTCTGCACTTCCCCCCAAGAGCAGTGGCCATGAGCAGTGCACATGGGGCTCTGTGTAGCTCAGCAGTGACAGGGAGCTGCTGGAGGCTGAGCGGAGAGGGCTGACCAACACCTAAGCAGCCATGGGCAAAGCACTTGGCACCAGCTCCTTCTGTGGCTTCCCGAGGGTGAGGTAGAGAGCGGACCTGTAGACCTGTGCAAGTCCTTGCAAACGCACTCCTCCAAATCCCACTGACCCTGCAGGGGCTCTGCTGTGCCTCTGCTGGCCTTCCCAAGGAGGGGACATGTCACAGGGATCTGCAGGACTGGAAGATAGCTAGAGTCTAAAATTTATCTGTGGCTAATTAATCCTAATTAATTAATCTAATTCTGTATGTGTGCATGTCTATGAATGTTTCTAACTTGCTAGGGAGTTTCAAACTGGAGCAGCCAGAGAGTGGGAGGAGACACATCTGGAAAGACTGGTGGGTGGGGAAGTGTGGGGTAATAGATGCAGAGCCCATGAAAATATCTGAGGGACCACCAGTGGGATGTCCCCATGCATCTGCAGTGGGAAAAGAGGTGGAGGTGTTCCAGCAGGATCTGCAGAGCTGGACAGGCAGAGGAGGAAGAGGAGCGAGTTTGGTGCTGGGGGGGATGTTTCTGTGGGTGCTGATCAAGGCACAGCTCTCTCTGAGGGTCTGTGTGGTCAGAGACATCAGTGTCAGCCTTGCACACATGTGTGTGTGTGTGTGTGCCCAGCCTGGATGGAAAGGGCCCAGTAGCAAACAAGGAAAAATAATTCCCTGGGACTTCTTTAAGCTTCCTGCGATCATGCTCAGCATCCTCTCAGACAAACTCTCTGTGACTTCCCCATCCTGTGCAGCTGGGGAAGCTCCCTCAGCTCTGCAGGGTGAATGCTTTCCATCTCCAGGGCAGTGTGTACTGAAGAAAGCTCAGCTTTGGGCTGCTGTGTGGTCTCAGGAAACAGAGGAAGGTGTGGATTTGATCCATCAGTGCCAGGGACACAGAGGAAGTTGTGGCAATATTAAGAGATAATCTCTGTGTCTTGCTTGCAGCTTGAGGCCCATACTCCTTCTCCTCCTTCCTGCTCACAACATGCTGGGAGGCCTGAGCTCCCAACCTTTCCAAGCCTGAGCACGTTCTCATCATGGGAACTGCCTCCTGTGTGCAATGTCAGACTGTGTGAGGAAGGTGCAGAAGGCTGTGCAGGGCAGGCCCAGTGTGAGGAAGGTGCAGAAGGCTGTGCAGGGCAGGCCTGCTGGGGCAGAGCCTGCCTGGGGCAGGGTGAGCTGGAGAGAGCAGGGCAGTGAGGAGGCACCGCTGGCCAGAGCTGCACAGGGTGGAGGGTCACCCATGGTGGGTGGGTGAGTCCCCAGACACCTCCCTTTCCCTACAAAGTAGGGCTGCTCCATCACCTGCCCCACTGAAGGGTCAGTGTCACACACACAGGGCCAGCTGGGACTCTGCTGGAGGCAAATCCTCACACCTTTCCAAGGCAGAGCTCGGAGTTCAGCTCCTCTCTAGCCTGAAGGAAGCCCAAGTTCCCCCAAGTTCAATCCTGTCAGAAAATCGAGGCAAACAGGTCCTAAAGAACCATCAGGTCCCACGGTTTGCTGGCTCCAGGGCCCGGCCCTGCCCTGCCCACCTTGTGGGTACACCAAACATGCCTGGCTGGGGCTCCCAGTGTGGAATTCCTCCTGGGCCCATGGAATTAGAGAGCTGCACAGGGCAGCTGAAAGCAGGTCTAGGTGCACAGAAGTTGGGTCTGAACTCCAGCACACAGACATTGATCCAAGCCCTGTGTGCCCTCTGCCTTTAAGCCTTTG